TTGAAGATAGTTGGCTTATTTAGATGCTAATTTGCATAATATTATATAATGGAAATAATTAAAGATAATTTGGATAATTTAGAGGGTAAGACCCCGATAATCTAATAACTTTTAGATCTTTAATTCTCCAGTAAAAGCCAATGAACAGCAGATTGGAAATCTTAGTAACCTCGTAAGGAGATAAGCCCACAAATTATTTTGCTACGGACTATCCTGGTACATTACTTGTAACGGAGACTTTGGAGCAGGTCTTTTGGGCTACACCATGGGTTGGAGACTATTACTTAATGAAGAAAATAGTGATCACACATTCATACGAAATGAAAGTCTATACAACAAAGAATATCGCGAAAGTGAAGGTTTATCTGCAATCATAGAAATAAAAAATAGCAGAATGATTTTGGATGGAATTTATGGGGAAGACCGTAACCTGGTTAGATGCTGAGAATATGCATGTATACATAGAGATTTAAATCTAATCCTCTGAGGAGGAACACATGAAGCAGAATCGGGGCAGATAATTCGGATAGTCTACAATAGTTGATAGAATAAAATCATTATACCCGAATGATGGATGCTAGATCCTAGTATCAGATACATTTTACTGAGTAAAAGTTGTTCATCAAGGCAGCTGGTAGAAAAGCATAACTGAACCGAGCACAAGTAGGAGGATGTTGGCCAGGTTTGCAGTGACTAGCACGCATACAACGCTCTTGTATTGGTCGGCAAGCCATTCTTTCCAGATGGCTTGGCCACATGGGCGGTTCATGTGACTGTTCTCCGGGCTCGGTTTGGCTAGACAAGTGGTCATCTCAACCAGACCCTGATGACAACAGGAGGGTGGAACCTCGACCAGACTGGGCAGATAACCAGGTGAACTTACAAAATCGAGGTGACTCTTGCCACCACAGCAAGCCAGGCGCAGCTGTATCTGATCTATCAGGTGCTGGATTCCCTCCTGCATATATGTAATATCGCCCCTCTGGTTCACGTTGGCTCTGACTCCATCTGTACCTGCACTCCGGTTACCAGGACTGCTTCGGCCTGATCCCAGACGATAATGTCGCAACAAAGTGTTTCTTGCTATGCGCTCAACTATGATTTGCATTTCAGTGTGATTATGACACCAAAGGCTTAGAAGCACAACAAGGATTATCTGCAATAGCAACAAGAAGACGAGATAAGTCTTGATGAGGGCCCTTCGACGTATGATGAGAAGAGTGAAGGCCAGCAGAACAAGAGCGACCAACAGGAGGCCAGACAAGAGAAGGAAGAGGCCGAGCTCAAAATGGCTCTCGGTTGTCAGATCGGCTGTCACCTCTTGGCTAATATGGAAGGCAGAATCGATCGAGAAGGTATGGCGTCGTTGCGAGGACGGCTCACTGCCAAGTCGAGTGACAAGCAGTTCGTAGACATACCAGCCTGGCAGCACTATCATCCAGTGCCCGAGGTAGAGCAGCCAGATAGCGAAAGCCAACAGGCCTAGGTTTGCCGTAATAAAGACAATGCGGTTGAGAAGCATGTCCCCAACAGATATAAGGGTTGTGCCTGCTTCACCAACAACCACAGGTCTTGTGGAAAATTATGTAGCCTATCAAAAGAAGTCTGAGTGGGAATTATTAAGTCTAAACTTTAGATCATCTCCTAGTATACGCATTGCCTACACAACTGCGAATGACCAAACGAAAATTAAGACTGGGAAAGTTTCTTTGTTATTTGTGTGCTTTATAGCCTACATTTGGCGCATTTATTGGATTACCTTTTGTCTTGTTACCAAATTGAGTGGTAGCAGATTTGGAGTGTATTTTGAGAAAATTTCACACATTTGATTATATCGTTTAGAACTGCGCAATGAGGATGTTCGCATATCGGCGACTGATGCCGTTTTGCAATCATAAAAGAATTTAAACATATTGAAGAAGTGTGCTCTTATGAGGTTGTTCAGATTAACCTGATGGATGGAGGAGTTGAAGGTAGCCAAATCTTAGGAAATCTTACTCATTCATGCTAAAAAACGAACACATGTAAGCGGGACTCTGCAGGAGTTCTATAATGTAGGTAAAGTAGCCACAAGGAAACAAATATATCAGCTAAACTGGTTCCATAGCTCATGAAAAAAATGCATTTGACCATTTGATGTGATTGCTGCTTCCATTTATAGAGATTTACGATAAATGATCAATAGACTGATATGTGAAGGAAACTAAGCTCAATCGCAGTAAGGCCTGTAGCTAAAATATGGAGTCACAGGCAGATACAAAGGGGAAGTTGTATCAATGTACCAATACATAGTATGCAAATAGGTATATATTTCACGAAATCCACCCTCTCATTAGCATTGATGAACTATCGTATTTCTGATTAATAATTTCGAAGCAAATCCTAGGCAGAAAGAAAAATAATGGAACCTTAATGTTTAAATTAGAGAACTGGGAACATTTTTGATGCAAAGCAGGGAACAAGAAAAAATGGTTGCTTAAAGTGAAAGCCGTGGGACCCGATTAGTTATTTTTCCTAATTAAACTAGAGTATTTAGAATAAAAGTTATTGGATGCTGCAAAATAAGGAAAAA